GATGGAAGGCCGATGCCTCCGTCGCCTGGCTGGAGTGGCCGCGGGGGGGTCTGGAGTCGGGCGGCCGCTGGTGGGAGCCGCGGGTGCCCGGGCCGAGATTGGGGGGGCAAGGCGGGCGACAGAAGGCCGATGCCTCCGTCGCCCGGCCCTCTACAGAATCCACCCCCCAAACCTCCAGGTATTTCCCTCCTTAGAGCTGGCAACCCTACATTCCCCTCAGTGCCTGTTGGTAGGCAACTAAGCTTGGTCCTGTCACCTACTTTGGCCTTTGGGAGAAAACACATTGGGGCCAATCCTGATAGGGTTGCCAACTCCAGATGGGAAATTCCTCCAGACTTGAGGGATGGAGCCTGAAGAGGGTAAGGTTTGAGGAGGGGTGGGACCTCAGACAGGTACACTGCCATAGACTCCACCCTCCAAACCGGTCAGTCTCACATAGGGAACCATTGTTGCCAATCTCCAGGTGAGGGCTGGAGAGCACTCAGTATTACAACTGCTCTGCAGAAGGGAGGGCAGAAGTCAGCTGAAGTCAAAGGGGCAGATAATGGTAGGTTGGTGGCTAGCTGGGAAGGAGATGGGGTTGCCAACTACATGCTGACAAATTCCTGGGGATTTGAGGGGTGGAGCCTGGAGAGGGTGGGGTTTGCAGAGGGGTGGGACCTCAGACAGGTAGAATGCCATAGACTCCACCCTCCAAACCAGCCATTTTGTCCTGGGTAACAATTGTTGCCAATCTCCAGGTGAGGGCTACAGATTACTCACAATTACAACTGCTCTTCAGGTAGCAGAGATCAGTTCCTCTGGAGAAAACAGTGGACTCTGTCATTATACCCTGCTGAGGTCACCACAGCAAATTGACACTGTTTGCCCAAAGCCAGAGCACTGCCCCAGAGCCTCTTTCTAGATCCCGTTGTATTGCTTTCACAACGGGCTTTACTGCTAGTACTCTTATAATGGCCCTTGTATAGAAGGAAAGTAATAGTTAAGTCAACTCAACAGTCTTACTTCAAGAATTAGCTTATTATTAGGACTTACCTATACATTATAAAAGACACGTCTTCCTTTAAAATCTTCCCAAACTAGAAAACCACCATTGCTCATTGAAGAACAAAAATCCTATAGAAGCCAATTAATAAGTTTAAATTACATCGGCAATGTTTTCAACATTTAAATGTTTAACAGGGAGAAAACAGACCTCTGATGTCTACATAGTAAAGAAAAAAGGAGCCAGAAGCCGCAGCTGAAGACGACGGAGCCGACCCGAGAAAAAAGGAAACCCCCCTCCACTGAGTGCCGGTAGGGATGTCCCCACCCCTAAGAATTGTGGCCATAGGTTAGGGATAATGAATAACTGTAGCCGCTCAGAGACCCCTTCGGGGGTTAGAGCGGGGTAGCAAGCCGAAGAAATAAATAAATAAATAAATAGTGAAGTTGCCTGGTTAAGATGAAGATGCCATGGGAAGAAGTGTAGTCCTGTTCCTTAAAATGATGGATTGGTTTTAAGCTGCAATTTAAACAATTGTTAGAAGCAAGAGAAACTGGTAAATGTACCTATGTGCTACTGTAAGGGTTCCATCCAATGCAAGCACACAAAATGGATAAAAGTTTAGGGAAGGCCAACGTAGGTCTCTATTGGATCGTTCACAATTTTGCTTCTTACATAACTGATTATTATATTAGTATGCAGATTACTGGTGATGGCGGAAAGTACTATCAAGCTGCCGCCGATTTATGGCCACCTTGGAGGGTTTTCAAGGCAAGAGACAGTCAGAGGTGGTTTGCCATTGCCTGCCTCTACATCACGACCATGGTCTTTCTTGGTAGTCTCCCATCACCTGCTTAGCTTCTGAGATCTGACAGCCTGGGCTATACATTACTAATAAGTATGTAAAACCTATGGCACTGATGTCTGTTCCATTTGTCACAGTCACTCCCACACAATCTACATGAGTTTAAATACAGACGTTTTTAATCAGCACTCATACAAAGTGTAACCCGTTTAAAGAAAACGTTCACATTACTCAGTGTGCAAGACTTCCTCATCACTTCCTGCTTTGATCTGACAGAGGTTAGTAGACATTTAGAATGCTGACAAATATCACTGCCTTTGGTTGATACGAGTTGTATTGCTTATTTCACGTGTTAACATACAGCTATGTGTACATTCTGAAAAAAGGTGTTAGGACAGCCTCATTAAGGGCTGTGTAGATACATACATTTCTGTGCACGATGGTTTAAAAGCTAAATTCTACCTTTCAGAAATCCTAGGGTAACAGTGTCATTAATCCCAATCTCATACTATTTAGGCTGTGTTGAGGGGGTATGCAAACAGCTGTTCTGTCTCGCTACCCCCACTGTAACCTAATAAAGTGGGTCAAAGAGTATTCTGCATCCCCTCTTTATGATATGGATTGCAGGAAAACAAGCCAAATATATGCTATAGATTAATAAGCGATAACTGATTCAACATAATGCTTGTGAAAAATTGTCCTTTGTTCGGTTTGAAAATACAGAAAGCTGGTGAATGTGTCAATATAAAGAGTACTATCTCTCATTCTTAACCCCTCCTTAAATGTATTTATTTCTGTAAGAACTTCTATAAGGCTCTCTGGATTTTCTTTCAATGAATATGGCACTTGCACATCCCAAAATGAACTCAATTTTAGTTGTGCGTTTGCCACAATCCAGCAAAGAAGATGTGCCTGTGGAAGCAACTTTTTGTGCAGGCATATACAAGCATATAGGATGCGTATCCCTATCAAACACCACAGTGCTCAACTATGCCGACTGATTACAGGAATGCTTCATTCTGCCAATAGTATGAGCATTTTCTGCTACAGTGAGGACCCAACATTATACATGTCCACGGATCTTCAGACTTCTTACGCTAGTTGTTACTGAAGAATGCTCTATTCACAGAGGGAGGCAAATCCTTTGATATTATGTCTGAAAGCCAAGAGATCAGGTGGGAAGAGGAGTCAGTGACATGGTTTCCCATGTAAATGACCTCGCAGGTTCAAGCTTTGCTAGAACAGCACTGAAACCTAGCCATATGGAAACAGCACACCCACCGTTCTCTCATAGCAGTCTCGCATGGCTTGGTCAGCATGTACATGACCCCTTTTCCTAATCCACCCTTTCCCCAATGATGCAAGAGTCATATAAACCAGTAGAAAAAAAAAGTTTTATTTTAATTTTCAACACTCAAGTATACATAGAATTAAATTTGTTCTTGCCAAAGAAATAAAATTGCTCGCAGACATACTTCTAAGCCAAGTTTCAGCCTAAAGCGGAATTTCCATGGTTCTACTCAATTACTGGACAAGAGTTTATTTAGAAGTGCTGACATCTCTAGCTACAGTGGCGAGTACAGTGCCATAAATGGGGTAAGGGCAAGTAAAATGTTGCACAGGGCAGGCACACTTTATACAGCATGTAAAAATTAAATATTTCATCCTTGAAATTTTTCATATTACAAAGTAGATAATACTCCCATAATTACAGAATAAGGGTAACTGAAATCTTCCTCTTTAAGAGCGAACATTTTTGCATCCTAGACCAAAACATTTGGTTTTAATATTTTACTGTTTGAGTTTACTGAAGGTTTATGGGAAGGGACAAAGAAACTCCGTCGGTTCTCAAGACTTCCACTGCAAAGTAAGAGTGGGATATAGCTGTTTGCTAATGAGTGGACTGTTCCACAGTAGAGGAATTATCGATGCATTCTTGGATGTTGTGGCGATGCCTGTACACCAAGCTGCAGCATCAGACAATCCCGTTTCATAATAAAAATATGTTTGTACTTAAAAGACCTATGAAATCATAAAAATAAATTTTGACCAGATCATCAACAAGAGCAGACATGCACTATGTCATCTTTAAATCTAATATAGTATCAAATGTTACATGAACATCTTCCACATACAACCTCAGCACTACAATCCAATTCTGTCTTTGTAATGGTTGGGGGTGGAGAGCAGAGAAAAGCTTCTTCATAAATGAAACGGAAGATGACGAGTCCTGAAATCTATTAGAAAGGGCAGGTAAATCTGTTGCAGATTACCTGGGCATGGATTTCTCCTTTTAGCCATTAATTGCAAAAGTGCAAAAAAGTGCAAAATGGGACGTCGTCGATCCAGGATTTTTGCTCTTCACGATGCAAGGAAAAACAAGCACCGGCAGGCAGACCCAATCTCATTCTCTTGCTTATTGCAGAAAGAATAGCGTCCGAGTGTTTGAAATCTGGCAATTTTGCTATCACACCTGGACAAAAGGAGATGCAAGTCTGATGTGTGGCATTTAAAAAAAGAGGAGGGGGACATTAGCTAGGGGGGAAATCTAATTCCAATAGGGTTGTGGTGTAAAGTAGGAAAGCAAAAAAAACAACCCAAACCCAACTGAACATTAAATTACGGTTTAAGAGATTATCAGTCTATAGATTCGACCGAAACAGGCAGACACAGACAAAAATCAAACAGCCGTTTCCTTTCATCCTCTTACGGAACTGAAGTGGAGAGATTAGGGAAAGACACAAGACCACAAGTGGCAGCTTTTTCGCAGCCCCAGAGAAGTGAGAAACCTTTGATTATAAAAAATAAACCCACATGCATACTGACAATGTTTTATTCATGATATACACGTCACTATATTCTTCAGCTTTCCTTCCTTTACAATGTACACAGTAAAGGCGGCCACATCAGACACACTTCATGCGCTACATCCAATCCTTTCACACCACACCCAGAGTCTCAGAAAGGTGCCTACGGTGAGGAACGCAGTCCCTGAGCATTTCCCCCCTCCCCATGGTTAGGCAAAAGGCAAAAACGAACAAGACATTTTCTTGCTCTTTTAAGTGCTTTGTGCAACAATGTCCAAAAGTTATTACTGAAGTCTTTTTTAAAAAAAAAAACAAAAAACAAAAACAAGGAGGAGCATTGGTGAGTCCTACTCCAGAGCGCTCCGCTATGTTTTATACTTGTTCCTCGCGACAGCAGTTTCCAGTTACATTTCTATCACAGCCCATGTAACTCTTTGCTCCCTCAATTCACTTTCAAGTTCAGCAGATTGTGGAGGAAATGCCTGCACGAAAAGAGGAGCTCCGCACGCAGGGGTGTCATCTAGGTGACACCGGTGGGCTGGAGAAGGAGCCAGAATTCCTTGGAGACTGGAAAGGCATTGTTGGAGTGGTGGGGGACTGTGTTCTCCGGCTGCACAGGTCACCATTGTGTAACTTCCACAGAAGTTCTTCATTTTCCATTGACAGGCGTTTGTTTACTTTGGATTCTTTCTCCAGGGACTCTTGCAAAACTGCCTGCTCAGTGGAAAGTTGTCTGGGGGGGGGAGGATGAGGGAGTGGAGGAGAAGAAGAAGCCACACACTTATTGCCGAGGTTTGGAGTAGTATGCTCATACTGTGATGATGATGAGATGAGATTGGATTTATACCCCGCCCTTCACTACCCAAAGGTGTCTCAAAGCGGCTCACAAACGCCTTTCCCTTCCCCTCCCCACAACAGACACCCTGTGAGGTAGGTGGGGCTGAGAGAGCTCTGACAGAAACTGCTCTTTTTCAAGAACAGCTGTGCCAGAACTATGGCTTGCCCACGGTCATCCAGCCAGGTGCAAGTGGAGGAGTGGGGAATCAAACCTGGTTCTCCCAGATTAGTCCGCGCACTGAACCACTACACCACCCTGGCTCTCTGTGATACACCCCCGTCTCCTTGGCCCCTAAGTAGCAGTTTCCCACAGGAAGTTGTAAGCTGTGCAACACTCACTCTTTTTTGGGGGGTTCCAAGTGCCCCCTTGACGGTACAAAGGTGAGGAGGGGGACAAAAGCTCCCTCAGCCTGCTGTACCGCAGGCTCAAGAATCAGGCCCTTGAGGCATTTTTAAACCACTTTAAAGGGGGCGACAGTGTTTCCACCATGGACACAAAGATGCCGTCACATCTAGCTGGCCCTTAAACAGAAAGTTCTCTCTTCTGCTTGAATACACATTGCTAGGCCACTTATGATCTATTAACAGGGCTATTTTTGGGCAGGAATGCACAGGA